CTGATGCCAGAGAGCAAAAGGACATGATAAAAGCAATCCAAAAACTAATAATGAATTCTCCAGTATAAAAAGGGCATGTTCATAACTAATCCAACATAAAAGAACCAAAAAGAACAGATAAGAAAATTTGACATGAAATCATGAATTTGTTTGAAATTACCTGCTTAAGAGCATTAGCGAGAGAGTGACTGGAGCTTTGGTTGAGGCATTCAACTCCAGACCAGTCAATGAAGTCCAATAAATCAACCTGATCATCAAAATAAACACATCATAATCACAAATCCAAATTTTGAAACGAAGCCAACAAACACTACCCAAATTTTTCCACGAAGAACTAAGCCAAAGTTAAGAATTCCCAAACCAAAAAACAAAACCCAAGAAAACCCAGTTGTCTGATTCCACGGTTTTCTCACTAATTTTCTTGGGGTTTTTCTCGGCAACCAGACGAATAGAAATGATTTGAGATTTGGGTACTCACTTGGTTTCTGTGAATTGCGCTGGCTGATTCAGTAGACATGGCTACTTTTGAGTAACGAGAAGGGAAGAAATGAAGACAGAAAGTTCAGAAGAGAAAAAAATTGAAGGGAAGCAGAAAGAAAATAAAGATATATTAGGACAAGGATTTATATAAAGGGTCACTGCTGGAGAAATCGTAGCCTGGGATCGTGGGATTCCTCGGGGAAGAAGGTCGAAGTCGAACAGAGAACTTAGGCGAGCCAGAAACGACACCGTTCTTTTCAGTGTGAGTAAATTGCAATGTGGCCCAAAATTTCCTATGTTATTCAAAAAAACTCTAAGATCGAAATATAAAATTTAAAAAAAAAAAAATCATACTTATAACATATTACACTATTTTTCACTAGTAAATCATTTTATTAAAAAAATTATAAAAAAATATATTAAAGAAACTTATGAAAAAAAATATATTTTAGATGCAATAACTTATTCAAACTTTGCTTCGATATCTTGAAATCGAATAATTTATTTTTGTTAAGAAATTTCATGTTCTAGTTATCTTTTATTTAAAATAATTAAATATAAAAATTTATAAAAGTGTTTAATACGTAAAATTACCGTAATTTTTTTGTTTTCCATGACAACAGCGAAAGATTTTTTATTTTGAGCATTTGATGAACTATCGATATAGTCTATATTGATATTGCATCATATAATTTTTTATATTATATAAATTTTCGTAGTCATATAATCAATAAAAAGTTAAATATTTTAATTGATATGTCATTAAAATTTTCTATTTGGGTAAGAATTCAAAATTTTGGTGATTAATAGATATGATGAAGTGTATGTCATCGAAGATAATACAATTTCTCAATTGCATAAGAGAAATGAACTCACTGTAAACTAACGTGGTTATGTTTTTTTTTTTTTAATGTCCCTAATTTATTGACAAAAAAAAAAACTATATCTATCATACATGAGAACTGTGTTTGTGCATGTTTAACAGATATCGATTTTTATAACAAACATCGTATAACATATACAAGATGTTAAAACGAGAGATATAGCAAAATTATCTTCTGATGTTCGGAAAACTGAGTAATTAAATCATATAATTAAGAGTTTGTAATAAAATAAAATTGTGATTACTAATACCTTATACGAAATATTTAAATTTCTAAAACTACCTTTAAACTCCTTTATTTTTAAAAATATATTTTTGTTTTTTGACTTATTTTTTCCGTCTCTCTTGTGAGTTCATTTCTTGATTGTAGTTTCACTTGTTTTATATATTAGTTTTTAGTATGTTTTTTATGATTTTTTTTAAAATTTAGATGTATCAGAATCGATAGTTATATTATTGAATATAATATTTTTCTTTTAACGTTAGTTCAATTTATGTCTAGTATGAAAATTTTTATTTTCTAAAATTCTTTTTATAAAATTTAAAATTCTTAATTTTAGTATATATATATATATATCATATTTTGGTACTAGTTTTATATTAACACATTGGTTAGTAAAATAGTTTGTAATTATAAAAATTATATCCATGTACAACTTATGTTATTTTTTATATAACAATGTCATTTAAGTTTTATTACATATGTAAATAAAATAATACATTATACAAATTCGTAGTAACTAAATATTTATATAATTTATTTATAATAAACCCCTATTAATTTATATGTTATATAAGAATTGATAAATTACAAGATCTTATATACTTTGCAAATGTGAGGTAAATATCATAATAATTTTAAAAAATAAAAATGAGTTAATTATAAAATAATAATATATATATATATTTTTAAGTAATAAAGAAAATTTATTCAAGCCACAAGTATTTTATCTTTCATTTAATTTTTTTTTAAAAAATAAAACAAATATAAAGAAAAAATAAAAAATAAAAAATAAAAAAGAAAATCTCAACTTCATCCAATAAATAGCTTCAAAGAACAAATACACACCAACCAATGTCTGCAACTTCCAAAATTTCTCCTCTCTGACTTCCCCCCCACACCTAACAAAAACCCCACCACTCTCACCGAAAACCAGATGGTCTGGTGAGCCTCTCTTCCTCTTCTTCCCCTAAATCTCCTCCATCACCAACCCAAAACCCAACAATGGCTTCCTTATCCCTCCCCTCTCCCTCCTCTCTATCCTCCCTCCATCACAATGCCTCCTCCTCCCATCTTATGTTACGCTCATCTTCTCTCAACCTCCGTTCTTCCCCCCCCACCCAACATTACAAGGCTCTTTTCATCAGAGCCAAGGTAGTCCCCCTCTCCCAAGATGATCTCAAGAAGCTCGCCGCCGATAAGGCCGTGGAGTCTGTCAAATCCGGAATGGTTCTCGGTCTTGGCACCGGCTCCACTGCCGCCTTCGTCGTCGACAAGATCGGCAAACTCCTCTCTGCCGGCGAGCTCTCTAATATAGTGGGTATCCCCACTTCGAAGCGCACCGAGGAGCAGGCTCGTTCGCTCGGAATCCCCCTCTCCGTCCTTGACGAACATCCTCATATTGACCTGGCTATCGACGGCGCCGACGAAGTTGACCCAAATCTTGACCTTGTTAAAGGCCGTGGCGGTGCTCTTCTGCGGGAGAAGATGGTGGAGGCCGCCGCTGATAAGTTCATAGTAGTCGCGGATGAGACCAAACTGGTTTCTGGGTTGGGCGGCAGCGGACTCGCCATGCCGGTGGAGGTGGTTCAGTTTTGTTGGAAGTACAACCTGGTGAGGCTGCAGGAGCTGTTCAAGGAAAATGGGTGTGAGGCAAAGTTGAGAACGGATGCGGATGGGAAGCCTTATGTCACGGATAACAGTAACTATATTGTGGATTTATATTTCAAGGATCCATTGAAAGATGGGTTTGCTGCAGGGAAGGAGATTGAGAAGCTTGAAGGGGTTGTGGAACATGGCTTGTTTCTGGGTATGGCGACTTCTGTCATTATCGCCGGTACAGATGGAGTTGATGTCACGACCAAGTGAAAACCAAAAAGGAGGTTCACTTTTCTTCTTTTTTTCTATTTTTTTTTTGTAATTTGTTCATCATTTGCCTTGTTTACTTGTTTTGTTTCTCCATGATTTTGGGATTGTAGAATTGTGTTTTGGGTAACTTATAGAAATTCTGTATCTTGAAGCAATGTGGATTAGTGGGTAGGAGCATTGCAATGAAAATTTGCAATTTTGAATAATTGGACATGAAAAGATTCATGCTTTACATTCTTCTTATTATAAAGCAGCGCTCCATTCTCTTTTCTCCCTTTGTTTTTGTTTCTGTTTTTCAGTTCATGAATTAGAATGCTAGTGTATACGAGCCTCTTTTATTCATTGGTATTTGATATATTAGTAGAAAGAAGTTTAGTTTCATGATCTTGGGTGTAAGGAAGCTTGAGCCAGTAGCTTTTTTTCATGATATATAACATTGTGGAGCTTGCCTGACTTGTTGTCAAGTGGTGCATAATAGTTGGAGGGATATGTAACAAGATTTTCTGTGAGAGAGTGGATTTTCCCATCTTAGCGGTTTCTAAGTTTATGTTGTCCACCAAAGAGAAGAGTGGAACAAGCTAGGATCCGAGGAGGAGATAGGTAAATATCTGGATTCAAATACCATGAGCTAAGACACTTGAGGCTATCACCAACATAATTCATGTCATTTTAAGCAAAATTTGGAATTTTGGTTTTCTGATTTCAGAGGATTGGGAGACAAAAAAGGGATGGCAGATAGCATGAGACATGCTTATTTATTAGAAACTAAACAAAGCAGCAACAAATACACTGGAAAGAATCCAGGGAATAATATACAATACTCAGCCTCAATATAAGCCTACATCTTATAAATAAATATATATATATATATATAAGAATCCAGAGCCATAGTCACAACAAGGAGTGAAATGAATACGTCCAAGTATAATCAGAACAAATATGATGAAACGAAGAAAGCAGTCTTGTATATTGCTACTTCAAGAAAGTCATAACAGCAGACATCATCAGAACTGCCAGTAGAGGGAGCTTTCCTGGAAGAAACGAGGTAGCTGGGAAACGAGATGATAGAGAAAGAGTAAGAATTCAAAATTAAATCCATGTAATCATTATGCAGGTTCATATATTGATGCAAGAATTTGCTGAGACTAATACATGCTCACTAATTTTTTGCTTTTCTTTATCTTCATATGCCCAGTTCAAGATTTATTTTATTCTAAAAAAATTAGAAAATTTCTTTTACTCAGTCTCACCTTCATTCCCATCATCCGAGGGTGAATTCTCTACATTTTTTACCGTAATCCCAAGTCTTGAACAATCAGAACCAAGTGTACCTGATAAATCAAAATCGTATGTTTTGTCAATCTCCGGGCATCACACCATTGAGTTCATAATCTTTTCACTAAGAGATTGAGTTTTGTATTCTTACATTGACTGTAGCAAGGGAAGAACGTTTTGTTTAGAAGATTGGAGAATCCACTTCTGCATTCACATGTATGTTTATAGGTTGTTGTCTTTGTGCAATTACCTTCTCCACAATAGGTCCAAAAGCAAGCTACATGATCACCAAAATGAGGGACAATGTTAAGATAAAGCAGAAAGTGAGCATAGGAGATTATGATGATAAAGGCAGCTTGCAAGGCTTACGATCAAAGAAAGACATATTGTGCGGAACTTCTTTCTCTGGGACTGGAGGTGGAGCTGGCTGGCAGCTGAAGTCCAGAGTACCTGGATGGCCAAGAAAATTGAAGGTAACTTGCTATTTGCTTCAAATCCTAAAGCAAGACCATATCCTATGACTACTTGATCCTTCACTGTTCCTACTTGATCATAGAAACTGTTAAAAAGTTAAATGTTACCAGTATTCATTGAGTTATAGGATGTGAACTTGATTATAGTTAAACTTTTGCTTCTCACTTTTTGTACGAAGCAGTACTGGAACCATTTATTTCATAACTTATACTACGTTTTTAGTTGTGAATTTTATTAATTTGTTGTTGTTTCTTTCCTTTTTCCAAATTTTCAAAGCTTCTTTTTAAGAGAATAGAAGGGGAAGGGGGATGTTGAATCTTCTGGATAGACAGAAGAAGAGCTTACAGTTAGGAATGATGCATGGTAGAAACCTATGATCATCATCAACATCATCATCATCTTGGGTTTGCTTCCAACCAGCTTCACATTCACATATGTAATTCAGCGGATAGCTTATATTAGCTTTGCATGTCCCTTTCCCGCATTCAACTTCTTCACATATCTTTTCTGAGTTTCACAGTTAACAATAAGAACAGACACATAGGTGCAAATTATAACAAACAAAAGAGAGAAAAAGAAGAGACTGGTTACCGAAAAATGGTGTCAGATGATCCCCGAGAATAGTTGTAGGTAGTAAAACCAAGAAAACAGCTAGAAAAGCCATGAACTTGTAGGAAGCCATTCCCTTCAAGCAGAGAGAAAGACACGGAATGCACAAGAGGTGGACTTCAAGAGTTCTATTCAGGGAGTTTAGATATTCATTTATAAAAGTAAACTTCCCTTGGGTTTTTCCAAGAAAAAGAGTATGTTTACCCTTATACACTAACAATTAGAGATTATTGATAAATTCTTTTTATATATAATAAAAAATGAACAAAGTCTACAAGTGGAATCGTCTGCAGACTTGAGAACAATTCCACCTAACCTACAAAATCTTATTTCTCATTTCTGCTTGGATCTTTCTATTTTTAATGCATATGTATGTTGTCATTTGAATACGCAAGCAATTATTTATTTATGTTTATTATCTTACGTTGTTTTTTACTCTTATATATATATATGTGAATGATGAAAATGTCCTTAATTCACTGGATGATTTCATTATACAATATAACACAGATGGTAATGTTTTGCCAACTTTACCCTTGAGTGTTCTCTTAGTCTGCCTCATTAACTTAGTCTACCTCAAAACTTGATAAAAGGGTAGGTAAAGAGGCTTTCGGGTGAATAAAATATTCTTAGAAATATATGTTTGGTTATGCATATGGTAGAAGCTTCTTTGATGTCAAACCCCCATTTATTAAACAAGTCCTATTGCTTGCTAAGTTGCTAATAATCTTCTCCTCTTACACTTTGCTTTGACTAATTTATTTATACTCCAATGATGTTTTCATATGTGTTGATGAGTTTTGGTTAATCCCCCATTTAACTTCTGACCCAGTTGTTATAACTCTGGTATTAGGCTTATATGCATATGATGCCAAGAGAGATGCTTTTCTTTTCCACCCAAAAAAAAAATATGGTTTTCTTTTTTTCCCCTTGTTTTTCTTCGACTAGTTATCCTTGCTCCGATGATGTTATCTCGTTAAATTTTTAGATCTTAATTATTTGACGGGTAGAATTTCTTCGTTGTTCGATTGGGTAAGTGCATGTATTCTTTGTTTTAGTTATTTGGATTTGATTTATGTATAATGTAAGTTGTATGACTATGTCCATGATGACCTCACTGATCACCATTTTCTTAGAATAGGATGCCCTGTTTGTTTGTTTAATTAATCTGTCACATAAATTAGGTGATTATTGAGAAGAGGTCTTTGAAAGGTTGGAAAATTGACACAGTCAAGTTTATTAATATAGATTAGGTTATTGCTCAATTCACCCACAGAGCTTAATGTAAATTTCTGATATAATTTTAGAATTCGCTTGTTGCCACTGCCAAACAAGGCCCAATTTTTTTAAGTTGTGTTTACCAAACAAAGCCCAAGAAACTAGGGTTTATCAACAGTCCTAATTGGATCAAAATGGACTGAAATTGGATTAAGTCATGTTCAATTTCTACATGATAATAAGAACAAAAAATCCCATATGAAAATTAAGAGGAAACCCCACGAAAAACCCTCTTAAACCCTACCCAACAAAAACTCATATGGGTACGTATCTCTTTACCGCCTGCTTCCCGGCAACCGCTGCGGCCGCCGTGATTCCTCCTACAGCTCCCGCAATCGCAGCCGATCTAGGCCCCGCCGCAGCCCTGTAAAGCGCCCCAGTTCCTAACCCAGCCAACACCGTACTCAACAAATCATCAGCTCCGCCTCTCAAATGCGTAACCCCACTCTCCAGCCCGGCGAAGATCAACCCAAGAGTCCCCATCGAGTTTCCATATCTTCGGCCCGCGAGTCCGCCCGAGTTAAGTAACCGGTTCGCTCGAAGCTTGAGGGACTCGCCGGGCTCCGCGGCCTTGATCCCGTCCACGGATCCCTTGGAAGCTCCTAGAATAGCGCCGGCGAGGTATCCGGAGCCGGTGTAGTACTGGAGATTCTCGCTCCAGGAACGACGATGGGTTTGAGCTTCTTCGATGAAGAGGTATTCCGGTGAAGTGGGGAGGTCGTAGAGGTGTTCGATTGGGATGTTGAATTGTTGATACGGATGGTATCTTCGGGTGTTTTGACGGTGATCGGAGTTGGGGTTTGATGTGTATTCCATTGGCGCGGAAGGGAAAAGAGAAAAGAGAGTTGGTGAGAGAGGATGAATTGCAGAGGGTTTTTCAATGGCGGGCGGTGCGAGAGGTTTTAACTTGTCTGAGTAAAATAGAAGTCAGGGTTTTGGACAAATATGGCGTCCGGAGGGGATAACGGGTCGGGTTAGGATTCGGAATCCAAATTAGGATCCATTTCAGGCCCAATTTCAGGCCCAATAATATTAAAACTTTAATAGAAGCCTAAAGAGCCAAAATTCAAACCCAAGCCCAATATGTGAGTGGATGAATGGGACAGAAGAAAACTTAAAAGCCCATGATATAAGACTCGTGGGTCGAGAGATTTGATAATAATATTTCAAAAATCCGTAGATATTATGTATTATATATTACAATAAGAAATCTTCTCGTTAATTATTATTTAATTTAATAGTTGATATATTTATTTTTCTATAAGAGATCATAAGTTTGAGTTGGGTTACGTTTTCATTTAGAGCTTACTTGTGTCGCGTTATAATTGGTTTACGTATGTATCATCATACGTCCTAATTTAATAGATGAATTGAATTTTACATATGATCTCTTAACGTAATAGATAAGTTATATAATTCAAACATTGTAAGTTTGTCACATATAACTCATAATATAGTACTAATATAATTTAAATTCATAACCTTTAAATAGAAAATAAAAAAATTTTAACTAATAAATCGTCATGTCGTTAATATGTATATTATGAATTAACAGTAAAATAATGCATGTTATGAAAACTAGTCGTAAACCACGGAACCAGTCCAACCAGCAACTAAAGCTGTATGCATTATATGAACAGAAAGTAAACGGTCGGGGTCATTCAATACGACGGTATGAACACGATACCAAGACAAACCCATGGAAATACCCCTTTATTAACGAAAAATAGACACGATGTAACTTTATTGCATTGGAAAAAAACTATGCTATCGCCCTCCTCCCTTTCAGTGTATTATTACGAAGAAAGGATTAATATTTGTTCTATTCTTTTAGTAATAATAAAACAATTCGGTTGATAGGAAAAAAGAGAAGTAGATCTATTTTATATCCGATAAATACCAAGACGCAACGGGAATTAACCCTATTTTATATAAACGAACGCATCCATATTTGTTCATCATTCAAAGGATCTATTCGTAAAAAATTTTATTTTATTTTTATTCATTCTATCGCGTTATACGAATTTATTATATATAACGGAAAGAAGAAATCGTATATTAGTCTATCATTTTCAAGTTAATTAATTAAGCAAATCTCATATCTAGATTCTCAACATATATGTTAGCCTCCATTTATTACTCTTCTTTTGCTTTACAAATAGCTAGACTTTATATTAAAAATAATTACCAAAAAAAATCCCAACCATTAATTAATAGATAAGTGAATAATTATGGAGCATAATTAATTAATTAATGAGTTCAAATAAGATATTTTTTCATATTAAAAATTTTACATATATATATATATATATGTATGCTCAATGATTAAAAGACTAAGCTAATGAGACAACCCTAATAATTTATTACTAATGATATCATTATTTTACTTTTATTATTAGAAACAAGAGAGGTAATTTTTATTACTTCTTTTAGCATCCTTCTAAGTTATTTGCAAAATCTCGTTCTTTTTACGTTATTATCGGTCGTTTCAAAATTTCACTTCTACTATATAAATTAACATAAAGAGTTTTTTTTCTCGTCTACTATATAAACCATGTATTTTTTTTTTCTTTGAGATTTTATTTAGTTTATATATATATTTTTTTAAAAAATCGAATGTATACGTGAATTATACTTTTAAATAATGTAATATTATAACGTATCATTATTTTATTTATTTTTTTTATCGTATTAAATTGATCAAATCAAGAAAATAAATTTTTTAAAAATAAATATTTACTCTTTTTATAATATTATCTAATAATTTTTTTAAATCACGATAAAAATAGATAAATTGATTTCTGATTCGTTCTCTCGTATAACCCAGTGAATTATTACGATTTTTTTTAAAAAAATAAAATCTCATACGTTCGGGAATTTCTCGTTCTTTTGAAAATTACGAAATTAACGCTGCACATACAACACTCGATTCGTTTTTCGTTGGAAACAAATTTTATTTCTATCACGCACTCGAGAGAATTGAATGAGTATTAACGGGAGTAGATAAGTATTTATGTTAGTAATAATAATTAGAATATTTAAAAAAAAAAAAATGAGGGTGCACAGTAGTTAGGGTGGTGTGAAGGTGCATGCGAAAGAAATTGGTGGTCTGAATTCCAATCCTTAAATAATTGGTCCCAGTGTCTGCATGTTTTCACGTGTCCTGCCATCCCCATTGCCGTTAATTGCACCATCATCACCCATCAACCACTGCATAGGATTCTAATTTATTTATAATTTAAACCAGTTTCACTTTTTAGACTTATTTCTTCTCCCCTCCCCCACTCTCACTCCCCGCGCGTCCCCATATATATATATATAAACTACTTTCATATATATATTTTTTTATAAAATTAATTTTAAGTAATGGGTACTTATTAATATGTTATTTTATATGTATACGAAATTGTATTTTTTTTTAAATTATCGTGATATATTTTTTTTATAAAAAAATATAATAAATTCGTTGAAATTTAATTTAATTTAATTTATTTATTATATATTTATTGACGCACTGCTGAATTAAATTTTAAAAGTTTTTTATTTTTTATTTTAGTAAATTATGTATTTAATTATTTTGATTTATTAAATAATTGACAGAAGATATAAATTTTTAGTATATTTTTAATAATAATAAGATAGTAAAAATGTGATTTGAAATTAAAATAATATGTAGGAGGGAAGTGTTTTCCACTCTCCCTGTGAAGAGTATAGTGCCCCATCTTTTCTCTCCCCCTTGATAGGACAAAGTCCTTGATAAATGAGAGAGAGAGAGAGAGAGATACAGATAGGGAGAGAGAAGCAGATACAGATAGGGAGAGAGAGAGAGAGAGAGAGAGACATGGTTGGTTTTTTTGGAGTGTTGCTGATAGGATTTCTATGAAATATTTACAGTGAGGAAGAAAGGGGTAAAGGAGAGAGAGAGAGAGAGAGAGATCAGTAGGGAAGAAAAATTAAGAGAGAAAAACATGTTTGATGGAGTAGCAGAGCAGTTTCACCGATTCATAGCAGCGACTTCAACAAGGACTACTTCACTTCCCCACCTCGCTCTCTCTTCCCATCTCCAACTCTCAACACCATGTCTCGCCTCCTTCCGCCGCCACTTTTCACCTCCCTCGACCCTCT